TGTATAGAAGTGCAGATAATTTTTCAGTATTGGTTTTGTATCCTTCAACTTTGCTGGATTCATTTATTAGTTCTAGTAGTTTTTTTTGTGTGGAGTATTTAGGGTTTTTGTTTTACATATAAACTCATGCCATCTGTAAATAAAATCATTTTCCTTTTTTCTTTCCAACTTGAATGCCATTTATTTCTTTTTCTTGCCTAATTTCTCTGGTTTGAACTTGTAGTACTATATTAGATAAAAGTGGTGAGAGTAGGCATCCTTGTCTTATTCCTGAGGAAAACCTTTCAGTCTCTCACCATTAAGTACAATGTTAACTATGCATTACAAGGCCCCCCCATCAAAAAAAAAAAAGGAATTATCTTTTGGAGGGCAGATCATTTGTAGTATAAGCTTCCCCAGCTAAGTGAGTGTTCTAGGAAACTAACTATATCATTATACTAGCTGGCGTCATTGTGAGAGGCTGCATTCGGCTTCAGTGAATTTTTTTTTGAGGACCCTTTCAATGTGTTTGCCCATTTCGTGGTGGGTGATTTACAAGTGTACCTGTCTACACCGCACTGAGTGTTCAGCAGTTTTTGACCAAAAATACCAGGACCCGCATGGCTCCATCCTAACTATTCACCCAGTCTTGACTTTTTGTTTTTTCCCCTGGATGGAAAAAGTCCTCAAAGGGAAACATTTTGCTGATGTGGAAAAAGTGAAACCAAAAACAGCAAATACACTAAAAGGCATCAAAATTGACAAGTACAAAACTGTTTTGAACAGTGGAAAAAATATCTTGATAGTTGTATTTATCAAATGGAGAATACTTTGAAGGTGACTGAAGTTTAAACATGTAAGAATAAATACATCATTTTTAATAAATAAATTCTGTTTTTTGGGTCTCCCCTTGTGTTCATATCACCTTTGTTATATTGAGATACTTTCTTTTTATTCCTTTTTCTTGAGTTATATTTCTTAATCACAAATGCATTTGAATTGTTAACAATCAGAAAATTTCACACACAAACCAAGATTCCTACTTCTGTTTTTAAAAAGCAGAAGTTCTTTCAACACTGGATTCACATTACCTATGGTCTCTGAAGCCGAACTAGCAGCTACTCTTTTTATACAGCATGCTCTTTAGACATAATCTCCATCTAGTCTTTTTTCACTCATTTAACATATCTAGAGGGATTTACTTTTTGGCCCTTGTAATCACAATAGCAAACATTAATTTAGTGCTTACTTGGTGCCTGACCCTGTCCTAAGTTCTTTACATGTATTAATTAATTTAATCTTCACTCATAACAGTCCTATGTAGTAGGTTATTATTATCTGCTTTCCTGATAAGGAATCCAAAACATGGAGCTAATAAATGTGAACAGTAAATTGTAATGCAAAAAGAATTGATTGAGGGAGAACAGATAGTTATGCTTATTGTTGGTGCCCTTTCATACACAATTTGAAGATAAGGCAAGTGCTTGAAATTTCTGATAGCAAGTTGCCTTACTTATTTTAGGATTTGTGGTTGGTTGTGTGCCAGGTATTTGAGATTGATAAAAATCTGAATGCTCCTGAAATGGGGTATTACTGTGTGCCTTCCTGTGTAGGTATACAAACCAATTCTTAGCTGTTTGGACCAGAGTGCTACAAACATGAAGGGATACTGACCTTTGTGTCTGATTGTAAGACTGAAGTTGCAGTGGTACAGATGAGGAAAAAACTATTTCCACAATGGTAATCAGGAACTTTAGTACTTTTGGACTTTGAGATCCAAATTGTTTGCTGGGATCACAAAAGGTGCCTCTACTTAAATAAATACTGTGTATATATGGAAACTCATAACAGAATACATTTTTAAAATCTTCCTTTAGGAACCACAAGACATTTCACTTTATTTTTTAGCTTGAAAAATAAAAATAATTCAGCTGCTTTGCTGCTCATGTCAACATGATATCATGGTCAAAAGAAATACTTGTGTCAGTATTTTAAAAAATTGAAAAGTAATATAAATCTTTTTAAAAAAATTCTCATCCTAGGATATGTTTTTATTGATTTTAGAGAGAAAAGAAGGTGGAGACAGAGAGAGAAAGAGAGAGAGAGATGAGAGAGAAACATCGATCAGTTACCTCCCACACACACCCACACTGGGGATCAGTCATGAACCTACAAATGTGCCCTGACTGGGAATCGAAACCACAATGTTTTTTGGTGGATGGGAGGATACTCCTACCAACTGAGCGACTTAGGCAGGTCAAAAGCAATATAAATCTGAAATTTAAAAGAAATATAAATCTGAAATATAAATATTAACTGAAGTATCTTTGAGTGGTACCTGTAGTAAACATGTCCTTTTTTATCACCTACCTCAACACTATATGGTTTCTTCTGATAAAAGAACCTTGGTTTTCTTTTGGAGAATGACCCATCCCCCATTATTTGTCCCCAGATTAAGGTATATGGTTGGGTATAAGATACAGAATTTGTATAAGATACATAATCCCAAGGTTTTATTGAAACTACTTGGAACTATGTGCTCTGTTTCAACTGGAATGGTTAAGTATAAGGATAATATAAATTGAACACTGGGGAAAGATGGGGAGATGGAAAAAAATTATTACATGAGAATAAACTCTTCAAAGTCAACAGAGAGGAAAGGAGAGACTATATCTTAATGACATTGTGCCCTGGATCCAGCCATACCTGAGAACATCTATCTTTGGATTTTTCAGTTAAATCAGTTTAAGTTTGAGGCATTTGGCAAGAAAAAGCCCTCAGTATTATAGCACACAAGAAGAATTCCATTTATTACAGTAACAAAACATTTAAAAATCCTTTACCCTGATTTTTAGTATTTCTCAGTGTCAAAATGGTAGCTGTGCTAAAGTCCTATTCTTACTCTCTTAAATCTTCCAGAAACTTCCTCTTCTAAACTCAGGTTACTCTACATCTTTGTTTTTCTCACCCCCATCCTCAAAGCTTTTCTGGCTCCCTTCCCCCCCAACTTCCTCCAAGAGAAACATAAAATCTAGCTGAGCTTTGGTGATCAATCGAGCCTTTTGAGACTCCTTTAGCTTCTGCACCTCTTCTCCCTATCTAAATCAGCACAATTAAGGGCCAGGGTGCTTTCTGAACAACAAAGAATCTTCCTTTATCCAAGGGTGAAAGGCTAAAAAAAATGTAAATTTTCTGTTCTGGTTTCATTTGTATTCAGTACAAATAGTGAGTTTGCTTGAACATTAATTCTGTTTGCAAAGAGCTACTTCTGGGGTTCCCTTTGGGTAAGTTTGGCCAAGATAGTGCCTCAGGGTTTTGTTTTGTGTTTTTTGGATGGAGTAAACTAGTTAAACCAGTTTGGGTGTTTATACTAAGTCAGAGAAATGGTCAGGTCCTGGATTCAAACCAAACTGATATGAGTGCTACGGGCAATTTAACTCTGTTGCCTTTTATTTCCTTCCTCTTTGGGAACATTCTTTGAGTTTTCTACAGAAACAGCTGGAAACTCATTGACAATTGCCTCACTCAGCAGCTCCTTCCTTCATAAATACATTTAGACACTGTACCCAGGACTTTGTTATGTATCCTAAGATATATTGACTCATTCAAAAGAAACCCAGCTGCAGTTGGAAGAGTACTGGCACTTGTTCCATAAAGATCTAGATTGTCTTCTCATATCAAGAGACATCTGAAAGTTCTATTATGCTGGACTCAATTGACCCCTAACCCTTTTGTGAACACATTGGTTATGAGTGGTCTGAATCCTGGTCTTGAGTCTACTCAAACTGTCTTTGGTGCCTCCAGTGTGGAGACCACCTAAAATGATGGCTGCCCAGGGAACTGTCATGATTACTCTGGGAAACATAATACCTTTAAAAAGTCCCATCATTCTTTTACACATTTTTTTTCTTATGAATCTTCCCAGCCACAATGAACTAAAATCTGTTATAGTGTCCTTGAATAGACACTATAAAGGAAAAAGATAGCATGGCACGTTCAGGGGATAGTTGAGGAGAATTTAATGGACTATTTAAAAAGGTGTGGGCAGGGTTGAAGGACACCTCTGGGAGTCATTATCAGCTCCAGGCTTCATGGGGCAAGGGCAGTGAGGGGTAAACAAAACTAAGAGACAGCTGTAGGAGAGGGCCACAAGACTGGAGTAATGCCTTTCAGATAAAAAAAAACCCACAGTTACTGCTAAGATTGGCCCTCTGGAGGTGAAGGGGGATGTCCTGTCCTGAATAATATCCTGCTCTGTGATCTCTTGCAGGTGTTTCCCATTGGCCAAACCAAGTGAAAGCCAGATGACAGTTCTGTAGTCCATAAAGGTCAGCCCTGAGTCGCAGAGCAGGGTGGAGTGAATCTGGAGGGACAGAAGAAAAACCAGCAGTCACATTCTGTCTTTTCTCATAGCTAGAACCTTGGTTCAGGCCTCATCCTTTCTTGCCTGGCTCCAGGCAATTGTGTTCCTGTCTGTCCTTTTGACCCATCTAGTCCACTGCTTTGATGACCAGGTCTGTTCCCAAAAGATTACATTCATTCAGCACAGGTTAGGGGTATATAGACTGGAGTCCAGGACCCAGCTCTGCAGTGTGAAGACCCTTCCCTCAGAATCCTCATTGGTAAAATTCCAGATGGATTCAGGGATGTCCAGAGGTCTTTCTGGACCACAAATATACTGATGCTAGATATTTTTAAATATCAAGGATCGACTTGCAACTTTTAAAAGCAAACAGGTGAAAATGAACTGAAGCTGCATCCCTGCCTCCTTCCTGAAGACTAGGTCACTTCCCTGATCCGCGATTGCTTCAAACCTGTTCTCTCCAAGGACAGCAGGCTAAAGCCTTGGACCATCCCACCCCGCGAGTGGGGGAAGTTCCCCATTCCAGGCACAAATCTTGGGCACTGCCCTCTCCCCCAATCCCTCTGGCCCTGGCATGTTCCACGTGGGCACCCACCGCGAGATTGGGAGGTGGACAGCGGAGAGCGCAGGCGCAGTGCCCGCACCCGCGGCGCCCCTCTCCCTGCCCCACCTGGCAGCCTCAGCTACCCCAGCAGCGGTTTTCCTGGCGTAGTGCATGGCGGACTCAGCGGGCTAGGAGGTTGGATCTAAGTGCGGGGCATCCGAGACCGGAGCACCAGGCTCACCTTACTCGCCGTAACACACAGGTAACCGGGCCCCAAGAGCCAGTCGGGAGCTGCGGACTGGGACCTTGACACTGCCTGCCTGGCCGCCCCACCCGGAAGGAGTAGGAGCGTGCTGCGAACCCCACACACCTGCTTTTAGCCGTGGCACCTATAGGGGAAGGGTCCCTCTTTTTGTGTTGGGCCGGCCGGCGGGGGGCAAAGAGCCTCGCGCTCTTCACAGCCCTTCGCTGGGGGCTCTGCTCAACGCCCGACATGCTGCAGGAACCCCACTTCTCTGCGCTGCTCCCTTGCAGAACCTGGGCACGGTGTTGGTTGAGTCAGCATCAGCTACGGCCCCTGAGCCCTGGTTTCCTGCCACTTTCGCGTGTACAAGTCCTTCCTCAGCCTCCATGATGAAGGCTAGGGGCTGTCGCTTTCCTCCCGCCCAGAAGCCCACCCAAACAAGGGCGAATCCCTATGGAGTAACGGGATCGATTTCAAATACAAACTCTGACGAATCCTGGATAGTTTTAGAAATATGGCCAAGGAATAATATTTTCCTTTAATGTCTTGTCTCATGTCTATGATTCTTGAACGCCAGTCCATGTGGGTTGAGATTGTCGTGGAGAATAAACGGTTTGTAGGAATCTTTGTCCAACAAAACGAGAAGGCAAGGACTAGAGGAGGAGGGGCCAGGCTACAGCCAACTGTGGCAGCTGGAGGCTCAGCGCCAGTCCACTTAGCCTCCGCCAGCCCCCGGAGAACACGAACTCTCCCTGATCCACCTCCGGGCCCTGTAGATTTTCTACGCCACATGCTTGAGTTTGACCTCTTTTGAGAGAAGGTATGGACAGAAAGGTTGCGCTGGCCAGCAGGAAGGAGACTCCGCTTTGGGGCAAGTGGGGGCGCCCCGTGGATCTGCACCTCCGTCCTAGCTTTTGCCAGGCTTGCGGAGGAGCCGGATGGAGAGTCCACTTAATGAGTGACGATTGAGAGCCCCGAGATAGTGACGCACTGGGAGGAGAGGGAGAGGGTGGTCTCGGCTGGCTATTACCCGGAAGGGACTTTGATTGAGGTTGTCCGTGTCCGTGGTGCTGAAGTGGCTCAATCACCTTCGTCTGCCTACTTCCCAGGCCGCAGCCTGCCTCACGGTTCTCTGTACCTTTGCCAAATATAGCCCATCTCCAAGGCAGATGGCCAGAGTGGAGCCGACCCAACACTGCAACCCTTTGCAGACGGGTTGATGCTGGTTTCCTGAAGATAGCATAAAGGCAAATGTGAGTCGCCTTAGGGGTGCAGATAAATAAAGCATATGGCTAATAGGTTTGATTACCTATATGCAAGTACACACAGTAACCATAAACATGAATCTCATATATGGATATATAGGATACACATGTACACATTCATACAACGCACATGTAAGTACTCTGATCCATATTCAATGCCATCACATGCTACAAATCACACATTTTTCCAGAGCTTTTTAGTAATTCATTATTTTTTGAAACGTCTAGTTTCTGAACTCTGCAGAACCATTAATTTTCATAATGGTTCTAAAATCACAGAGCTTATGGATTAAAGTGTTTAGTATTTTGCTGAACAATTAAGTATTTATACATACACTTTTTTCATTCCAAAACAAAGATAGTCTAGAACGATGTAAAATTGACATGCATACAAAAAAGGATGAACACTCATGTATTTTAAATAGACCGGGTTTTTTTTTTTCTTTTGTTGGTTGTATTTTCACTATATAATTTATACTTAATACCTTTTAAACCAATACATAGAAAGGTAGGTCATCATTATTAAAGGTTCAATAATATTGCATTATATAGATAGAACATAATTTTTTTAAACAACCTCACAATAATGCACATTTATGTATTTACATTTTTGCTATTATAGATGATTCTGCAAATAACATTTTCGAACAAACATTGGTATACTAGTTCGATTATATTGTTAAACAAGTTGGTAGAAATGAAATTGATGGTGCAGCAGGAGGTAAATTCCTATTTTTTGAAATAGTTTGTTCATTTATTTGTTCAATTATTTTCTGTCTTCTCTTACCTGTTTTATTTTTAACTATTTCTCAGCATCTACAACAGTGCCAGATATATGTGTATACAAGGAATATTTATTGGAAGAACACTATTTCCAGACTGTGCTACAGAAAAAGTGTGCTGATATACACCACTCTAAACATGGGATGAGAATGTCCATATCCCCCACAGTATCACCAAAATTAGGTTGTTAGGTTTTTGTCGGTCTTTTAAAAGTATTTTCCAATTGGATAGGCAGAAAAGAAGATCTTCTCATATATTTATTGGTCATATTTTTTTGTTTTGTGAGCTCATATCCTTATTCTTCTATTGATGTGCTTATTTCTTTTTCTTATTTGTAAGAGCCCTTTGTATGCAAAGGACTCTGTTATATATATTGCAATTTTTCTTGGTATTTCATTTTTAAATTTTGCTTATGATATTTTATACTGCAGAGAAAATTTCATTTTTATGTAGTCAAATATATTTTTCCTTTAAAATTTTTCATTTACAGCCCTGGCTAGTGGGGATTGAGCCCTGGCCTGCAAACCAAAGGGTCGCCAGTTCGATTCCCACTCAGGGCACTTGCCTGGGTTGCAAGAAAGGTCCCTGATAGGGGGTGCACAAAAGGCAACCACACATTGATGTTTCTCTCCTCATTCTCCCTCTCCTCCCCTCTGCCTAAAAAAATTAATAAATAAAAATTTTCACTTACGTTAGTCTTTCACTCCTCCATAATAAAATATGATCTATCATATATTTTATTTTATAAAAAAAGATTACTTTTATTTTTATACATATATTTTATTGACCATGCTTTTACAGTTGTCCCAATTTTTTCTCTCCTTTATTCCCCTCCACTCTACACTGCCCCACCCTCCAGCATTCCCCGCCCCCACCTTAGTTCAGATCCATGTGTTGTATATATAAGTTCTTTGGCTTCTCCATTTCTGATACTATTCTTAACCTCTCCCTGCCTATTTTGTACCTACTATTTATGTTTCTTATTCCCTGTACCTCTTCCCTCATACTTCCCCCTCCCCCGCCCCTCTGTTTTACTGTTCATAGTTTTTGATCTTCTTTTTTTTAGAGAAGTCCCTTTAACAGTTCATATAAAAAGGGTTTGGTGATGATGAACTCCTTTAACTTGACCTTATCCGGAAAGCACTTTACCTACCCCGCCATTCTAAATGATAGCTTTACTGGACAGAGTAATCTTGGATGTAGGTTTTTGCCTTTCCTGACTTTGAATACTTCTTGCCAGCCCCGTCTTGCCTGCAAGGTTTCTTTTGAGAAATCAGCTGATAGTCTCATGGGAACTCCTTGGTAGGTAACTGTCTCCTTTTCTCTTGCTGCTTTTAAGATTCTCTCCTTATCTTTAATCTTGGGTAACTACAGTATGCTGTGCCCTGGTGTGTGCTTCCTTGGGTCCAACTTCTTTGGGCCTCTCTGAGCTTCCTGGATCTCCTGGAAGTCTATTTTGTTGGCCAGATTGGGGAAGTTCTCCTTCATTATTTTTTCAAGTAAGTTTTCAATTCCTTGCTCTTCCTCTTTCTCCTACTGGCACCCCTATAATTCAGATGTTGGATTGTTTAAAGTTGTCCCAGATGCTCCAAAGACTCTCCTTATTTTTTTGAATTCTTGTTTCTTCATTCCCTTCTGGTTGAATGTTATGTCTTCCTTTTGCTCCAAATCGGTGATTGGAGTCGCCGTTTCCTTCCCTTTGCTGTTGGTTCCTTGTATATTTTTCTTTATTTCACTTTGTGTAGCCCTCACTTTTTCCTCCATTTTTGTGACCATACTCAACCAACTCAGTGAGCATCGAGAGTACCAGTGTTTCGAAGTCTGCATCTGATAGGTTGGCTATCTGTTCATCGCTTAGTTCTGTTTTGGGAGCTTTGATCTGTTCTTTCATTTGAGCCATATTTCTTTGTCTCAGTGTCCCTGTTAAGTTGGGAGGGGCAGAGCCTTAGGTGTTTGCCAGGGCAGGGCAATCCAGGTTGCTGAGTTGTGGCACTGTCTGTGGGGGAGGAGTCTGAGAGGGAACAATGCCAGTTGCTCGGCTCTTGGCCAGCTTTCAGTCACTCCCCCAGCTATCCACAAGCAAATTGGGCTCTTCTGGTGCTGATTCCTTGGTGGGTGGGTTTGTGTATGTTTTAGGACCCTGTGGGTCTTTCCAACAGACTCCCCTGTGAGGCTGGGAGGTTCTCCTGCCACTGCAACGCCCCCGGTTTTTACCTCCAGAGGTTTTGAGGCTTTATTTTACCACACTGGAACCCTGGATTGCAAGGTCTGTCTTGCTCCCCAACTGCTCCTCTGGTTTATCTGCAAATGTGGGACCTCCTCGTCTGCCAGCTAACTTCTCACCCATCCGGTCCTCCAGCTGGCACCTTGCCACATGTCCCCTCCAGCCCGACTGCCCATCTCTGTCCCTCCTACCAGTCTGGATGAATGTTTCTTTTTTAACTGCTTGGTTGTCAGACTTGCACACAGTTTGATTTTCTTGCAGTTCTGGTGATTTTTTGTTTTTAAATTGGTTGTTGCCCTTCTTTTGGTTGTGCGAGGAAGCAAAGTGTATCTACCTACACCTCCATCTTGGCTGGAAGTTCTCTAAAAAAAGATTACTTTTTAAAATCTAGGTTTATACTCCTACTTCATTTCTTAGTTAAATTAATTTTATTACTTGAGGTAAAATTCTAGTTAACATTACTTTGTAAGAAATAATTATTTTCAGCCCACAAATACATAGACTTTTCCTCAAAGAGAAATAATATGTTTGAACCCTTTAATGTGATATATTTAATTTCTAAATGCTTCATGAAAGTGTGTTTACTTAATGCTGTTTAGTCTGTAGTATGTTTAACTGTTAGTATGCACTGTTTTTTTAAAAGGAGCTATTCTTTAGAGTATTTTTTATAGATGAGAGAAAATATAACAAAGTCTACTTTTTAGGCAAATTAAGGAATTCATATCACTGAGGTTCATAATAATGTG